GACAAAAGTGATGAATGTTAGTCTGGTCATTGCAAGTTTGAACTAAATGTTAGTCTGGTCATTACAAGTTTGAACTAAACATGAAAATTCTACTTGGAAAATATCCAAGTTTTAATTTAGAAATTAGAAGATTTTGAAGAAGGTGCATCAGAAATTGGTATTTCCTCCATTTTACATTGTAACTATGATATAGTGTTGTAGTCTCCTCAGGTTATGAGTAACTTTCCTGTTTGCAGAAATATAAAGAAATATAAATTTGGGTAAATAGATAATCTATAACACCTAAAATCACAAACTCATGGAACTTTATAAGTCCAAATTATGGAATAACTAGTCTTGTCAAAAACTGTGTAAAATGGTTTCAGTCTTGAACTTCGAATGTAAAGATTTCAAGGTTAGCAATAAAAATACTAACTCACATCTTAAAGCAAATTGTCATACATGCATGTAAAATGTATGGAAATCTGAGATATAAAACCATTTCATTTATGAAATGCCATGAAAGAGGAAAAGAAAAGTGACATGCAGAAAGAGAACGATCAAGAATTCAATATTAGGTTTCTTAGTTTCTAATACATACTAGAACTGCATGTTCTTCCTGAATGTGCATCAAATGCAGTCTTGATTCTTCTTTGAAATCTGCAAGTTTTTGTTCACATGTTGTTTCCATTTCTCCAATAAGTTTGGCAGCCTGAAAGTTCAAATATTTCAAGTGACAGGATCTATTGCCATTCATAATTTATAATGGGACAGGTTTGAGCAAACCTTCTCTTTTTCCTGACTAACAATCTCTTGCTTCTCCACCTCATACTTCCTCCGGATATCATTAATTGCCTAGGAGAACTCCATTTAGTGTCAATCTAAAGGTCCACTGTATTGAGGTTTTCATTATCTTGGAAATGTAAATGATAGTACCTGGTCATTCCTCTGAGATATCTCTTTCAAATGCCTTGATAATTCTGATTGCTTACTTTCTAGCATAAGATCATACTGCTTCTTGGCATCTTCAATTTTACTTTCAGCAGCAACCAGCATTTCCTGATTCTGGAGTAGGACACAAGATCTTAAAGTATTCTAAATCAGCAAGAACTTAAAATTGTTTTTATCATAGCTATTTTAGAGACCTGTGTGATTTGATCTTGCAGCCTCTTTTCTCTTTGTTCATATTGCATTATAAGTTGCTCCTTTTCTCCTAAGATGTTTTGAACATGACTAACTTGTTTCTCCAGAGAATCTACACACAGGTCACGTTTCTGGCTCTCCTTTTGCAGACTATCCATTTCTTCTGTTTTTCTTTGTATCTCTGTCAGCATTTGCTCTGTATAATCTTTTTTCTCGAGTTCTAATGCTGAAATTTTAAACAATAGATCTTGCTGCAAGACATAATCAAGTGGTTTGAGAATAGCTACAAGACCTCTCAACTATAGGATGGAAGAGTGAAATATATACTGACCACTTTATTCTCAGATGATCTTGAACTTTCTGACAGGAAGTTAACTTTCTGTTCCAACTCAGAAACTAACTTTTCTGTCTCTGTCTTCTTTGAGAGCAGATTTTCCGATTCTGACTCCAACCTCTTAATTCTCTCTCCTGCTAAACGGGATTCTTCTGATAGCTGAGCCATCACTGACTCTTGGACCCTCTGAAGTTCAGTGATCTTATCATTTAGCTCCTTGTTTACCAACTGCAATGCATCTCTTTCTGATGCAATGCACAAGAACTCACCATGGAGTTGATCATATAGTTTTTGAGAATGCTTAGCAGCAAGATCTCTCTCCTGTTGCACCAGCTTAAAGCACGCGTCATACAGAGAATTCAGCTCATCAAACTTGTCAGTAAAAGTCAGGTTTTGTTTATCCAGTTCTACCAACTGTGCAGCCAATACATGAACACAACCTTCGAGATTTTTAGTCTCCTGGATTGACATTGCCAATTTTCTAGCAAAGTCACCATTACTTAGCTGAAGATTACTCTTCTCTTTCTCCAAATTTTCCTTAGTGTTTACCAAACGTGTTATCTCAACTTCCTTTGAGCTTAGCTCAAGGTGAACTTCCCTCAATTTAGAGTTCAAACTCGCTGCAGCCTGTTTGTTAGCTGCTACAGTTGCCTCAAACTTCTTAATCATAGCATCTGCATGTAAAATAATTCAGAAGAATGGTTATACAATGTAACACTTAGAAGTTACAGCTTCTCAAAATTAATCAAGATGCTAAAGGTTAATTGTGACCATTCCGGGGCTACAACATGTTAAGCAACATGGTAGTTTGTCATTATGATAGGAAAGAATGCAATTAGAAACATATGCCTTATAGTTGCCCTATCACCCTTCAAGGTATAAAACGAGCAATACTATAGGCAATTCTTTCTTTTCTTTCTCTCCTTTTTGCCCATTCTATGTTATATGAGCATGGAGGAACCACACTTTATGTGATTTTAAAGTTATTTGATGCACGCCTAATATCTACAAAAACATCCTTTCAGGACTGCATCAAGATATAACCATTGCACAATAAATCATCCCTTTGTGTCTTAATAACAAGGCAATTCACTTACCTTTTTCCTCTATCAGATTAACAGTTCTACATTGTTCATCTCTGTAAAACTTTTCTCGTTCCTCTTTCCCAATTTTTAGTTCCTCCAGTTCCTTTTCACCTGCATACAGAAATTATACACTAAATTAGCCAGAGATATACAAATGAAACATACCTCAATTATGAAAAGTTATTGATAAATTAAATAACTCACGGCCTCTAATATTTTCCTCAGCAGAGACTAACTTCAAGGACAAAGCATCCATCTTCTGGTTTAAGCAGTCAATTGCTTTCGAGCTTGCGGACAGTTTTACTTCAAAAAACTCCTTATCCTTCTCAGCTTTTCAAGGAAGTGGAAAGCAATTATATACTCAAAAGTCAAAACAAACGAACCAAACTTTCGAGTTATCAAATGTGTAGAAAGTACCTACCATCCTGAACCTGGCCAGCTAAATGCTGTAAAGTATCTGTAAGTTGATCACACAGTGCTTTAGTTGATGAGAACTTAGATTCTAATCCTTTCCAGAGCTTCTCATCTTCCTTCTGCTTCACTTTGAGCTTAGCGTTCTCATTGAAAGCATTCTGCAGCTTTTCCTCCAGTACACGGATATGCTCCATCGATTTCTTCAGCTTAGAATTCTAAATTTTAAAAAAATATAAAATCATATAAAATATTACTAATCGTTTCCGATGGTTGAACGGACTCTCTCATCTCACGAATTATGAAACCAGATCTTCGTAGCAACAGAAGTAATGAACTATAACAGAGCAGAGCCATAATTATCAGAAATAAATTTTTTTTTTTTTAAAGGTCATTTGCTTTCTTTAAACACGACAATGCAGGATGATTATGTGTGTGTCTGTGAGAGATCAGTGAAAAATACCGCCATTTCCAGATCTGTCTTCACAGAAGCTTGCTCTTTAACCAATTTCTCTGTAAACAAAAAGAAAAATGAAAATCAACAATAATGGCGATCGGAAATTTCAAAATCTTCAAAGAATCACACAAAAAATAACGAAAATTTCCAGATCAAAACCTGCAGTTAGCTTCAAATTGGCGAAACTGCCGTAGGAAATCGAATCTGAAGATGGACGCGAAGAGAACGATAAGTTCTTCGCAACTCCACCTCCGGCGACAGAACCTGTAAGCGATTTGAGTTGATCCAAGCTCCTCATGCTCGAAAAACCTATCTTCTTCATCTCGATGAACTTCTGTTTGTGGAAGGAAACCCTAGGTAGTCAATCGAATCTCGCGTTCGCTCTTTGTTTGGGAGTTTCTGAGAGGCTGGAAGAGAAGATGAAAATGAATTAGGCGCGAAGCCGATCAGGTACTTATACAAGCAGTTGAAAGGAGTTTTAATTGCATACGGACGGGTCTACTATAAAGAAAAAGATACAGCAATGAGATTTTAGCTGATTTCCCTTAAATAAAAAGAAAAACACCAATATGGTAAACAAAATACTAAAAAAATCAGGGAAAGGAGGCGGAGTTGTAGCACAGTATGCTCGGCGATGGAAGCAAGGCGGTGGCCGATTCCGATGTTCTTTCCATCTGATTCAGATTCTCATTCTCCGTCTCCTCGTTTGACTTCATTATTTGTTCACCTCGAAATCATCAAAACCCCTCTATTTCTTTGAATTTCTCCTAACAAATCACTTCATTAGTTCATTATTGCTTCCATCCACAATGCGAAATTTCCAGCTTCAGTTCAAAAATTCCCTTCCTCTCGAGAAACCCAACAATCAATTTTGCATTAGTTCAAGTTCAAATTCAAATTTGTTTTTTTGCGGCGGTTTGTTCATCGAGCCGAATGCTCCCTCTTCTTTTCTCGAATACTTTTCCGGGGGAAATTCGTCCGCTGCCAAAAGGGTACGTTTTGAGGGAGAAAAGCGTGCGGTAGTGCCGGGTAATGCCGTGTTTTTGTCGGTGAGCTTGGGGAACGACGAGCTTGTTCAGCAGCAACCGAAGGTTTGCATTGTTAAAAATGCGGAAAAAGAAAAGAGCGATGAAAAAGCGGTCGTGGATAGAAGAAGGGTTCTGGTTACGCGGCGGGGTGCAGTAAATACTACTAAGCATTTGTGGGCTGGCGCCATTGCAGCTATGGTTTCAAGGTAGTCGTTTCTTTCCTTTTTTTTTTTTTTCTTTCTTTCTTTTTTTGGCAATGGGGGTCTGCTGTTTCAGTTTGATGTTTTTAATCTATGATGAGAAAGAGTGCTGTGGAAAATCAAGGAGTTTTCTGGTGTTGATTTCGCTGTAGCTTCTGGGTCTCTGTCAATTTATTTATTTTTTTGTTGGGATGATTTCTTGTGCTAGAACATGCGTTGCTCCCCTTGAGAGGTTGAAGCTAGAATACATACTCCGTGGTGAACAGAAGAACATATTTGAGCTTATTAAGAAAATTGCAACCACACAAGGATTGAAAGGATTTTGGAGGGGGAACCTAGTTAACGTTCTCCGCACAGCTCCATTTAAGGCGGTGAATTTTTGTGCTTATGATACATACAGAAAGCAGTTGCTCAGATTCTCTGGAAATGAGGATACCACTAATTTTGAGAGGTTTATTGCCGGTGCTGCAGCAGGAATTACAGCTACTGCACTCTGCATACCACTTGACACTGTATGTGTGAATATGATATTTCTTGTTCCTTCTTTATTTTCTTGTTTGTGGGTCAACTCTAGTCTCTCAAGTCTCGAATTTTACTTCACCTCACTTTAGGGGTATGTTGTCACTGTTGTGGATGGAGCATCTTGATAATCCTTCAATTATTTGTTTAATATTACAGATAAGAACTAAGATATTGGCACCTGGTGGAGAAGCCTTAGGTGGTGTAGTTGGTGCATTTCACCATATGATCCAAACTGAAGGATTCTTTTCCCTCTATAGAGGGCTAGTACCTTCTATTATAAGCATGGCACCTTCAGGTGCAGTGTTCTATGGCGTGTATGACATACTGAAATCAGCTTATCTGCACTCGCCTGAAGGTAGGAAAAGAATTCAGAACTTGAGCAAGCAGGGGCAGGAACTCAATGCTTTGGACCAGCTGGAGTTGGGACCAATCCGGACATTAATATATGGGGCAATTGCAGGTGCTTGTGCAGAAGCTGCTACTTACCCATTTGAAGTAGTGAGAAGACAGCTTCAGTTGCAAGTAAAGGGAACCAAAATGGGTGCACTGGCAACTTGTGTCAGGATTGTTGAGCATGGAGGAATTCCAGCTCTTTATGCAGGGCTTATTCCCAGCTTACTACAAGTATGTACATACAAGTTTTTGCATACTCAGCTTACTCAGTAATTATTTCCTGAAAGCTTTATGCTAATTATATTCGCAGTCCTCACAACAAATGGAAACATAAGTGTTTTTTTTTTTTTTTAATAAAAAAATTTTCTGGATACTTAACTATCTAGAGACAGTGGTTCGTATCACTTGAATTATTGTGTTTCAAAGTTCTATTCTATCTTCATTATTTTCTTTGGAAATAAATCATGCATAGTGCCACATAAATTTAGTGTTTAAATGAAAAAAGAAGAAGGAAATAGTGATAGCTATCATCTGCTTTGCCCTTTAACTTTGTGTTTCTTTTAGTTGATGCTGCTTCAGTTAATAAATTAGTTATTTCACTCAGTTTCCCTTTCCTTTTTTGGTCATTTCCTTTCTACCACCATAAAGTATAATGCTTGATTCATATTTAGAGATAGTATGTGGTGGTCTCTGTTTTGAGCTTCCCCCCAAATACAACTTGATGCATGTAAGATACGTCTAAAATGTGATATGTTTCCAGGAATCATATTCTTCTCAGTTGAGATCTTGTTAAAACCTATATGCTTCCAGTGTCGTTTTTATAATGTGATTTTATGTTCTTTCCTTATAGATTTCACATTCTTCCTTTGCAGGTCCTCCCTTCTGCTTCAATAAGTTTCTTCGTTTATGAGTTTATGAAGATTGTCTTCAAAGTGGAATGAAGGAAGAAAATGGATCTACAATTAAAGAGGATAGTCAAAGGTTGAATACTCACAGATGAGCACACGTAGCATTTCTGAATGATAAAATTGATCATTGATTGTTCACATGTTAACAGGTAATGTTCCCTACATGACTTTTTGCCTTGATAGGAAATGAAAGAAATTTGTCGACAAGATTTAATCACCCTTTCTTGGGTAAATTTAATACTCCATGACTGACGGTATTTTGATTTGCATACTTAAACTTGATTTTACTGTCCATTTATCACATAATTGCATGATGAATTTCACAAAGGAACAGTAGCATTATCTAAGGGCAGAGGGGAGAGTGATGAATCATATTTGATAGGAAAAAGAAGTATTTTAACGTGGTTTACAATTAAAAACAAGTTTCCAACAACTTATTACACGATTCGGCCCTTCCCTCCCTTTCAACTTATGTATCCAGTGCCATTGTAGCTTTGCAATTGCGCCCATGGAGGACTTAGAATGTGATGAGAGATAAGGGGCATTGATTTAACTTTAATAACTGAAGTTATTGAGGGAGCGTTGGTTAGCGTAATGGTCTAACCCAAGCGATTAATGGCTCCCTCACCCTTCCAGTTCCAGCCATGGTTCAAACCTGTCTCCCCCTCCCCTCCTCGCAGGTTCAATCCAGTTGGCCTATTCCATAATAAAAAAGTTCTTTTCATAATTAAGGTTCATGCCTGCAATTTCGGTGATAACTTCATAGGTTGTGGGTATTAATACTCTGGTACATGGTTAGTTACGCGTCATGTTATATATCATGTGAAATTAATTTCTGCAAACAGAATGGTCCGCATAAGACGAGACTTGAATGCCAATATTGGTATTCAGTTAATTGGTAGCAAAACTTGAAAACAATAATTTTCATGCTCAGTTCTGTGAGTTTCACCATCACTGGCTTGTGTTGTTTGAGTTCCTTGAAAAGGTCAAATGTAACGACGACGTGCAATGCTGAAGCATAAATCTCAGTCACTGTATCTTTGTTAACCAACTTGTAATTGCAACAAACCTGCAGATCTTCAGTCCAAATCTTATCTTCGAATAGACATGCAAAGCCCCGAGATGGGTCATCGAGATAGATGCTCCGATACTTAAGTTGACAATAATCTGGTCTACTTTAAGAAAGGACCGTAAAAGAAGTTTTAGGTTGGTTTCAATTACCTTTTTGAGGTGGTCCCTTAGGAGGATATTTATAGGTCTCGATGAGGTATTCACGTGATTTGTTTAACGAGATAATCGGAGTTTGACGTGTCCATTCAAACGACGATCTTCGGAACAGAGGATTGAGTGTGGATATACCTAATGTAGCTAGTAAGCAACTGTATGACCGGGAAGAATTGAACTTATGAGTTATCTCGTAAGCAACTGTATGACGGGGAAGAATTAAACTTATGAGTTATCTTGGTTATTAAAAAAATGTAACAGTACATCCGAGGTACTTAACCTTAGGCCTATCCTTACACAAGTGATTGTGCTGTGCATATTACAATTCCGTGTTATTTTGGTTAGGGAGTCTTTGTTGACTAAGCTTGTCTTTGATTATATCATCCAAAAGGGATTAGTAGTTTTAAGATGTGCATAAATTGACTTCAAAGTACTAAATTACTAAGGCTTAAGTATTGAAAAAGGACCCTAATTTTTACTAAATTCTCAATCGAGGTCCTCAACATTTATTGCACTCAATTAAGGTTTTGAACTCACACAAACTCTAAAATTAGGACCCAATTGGATGGAATCTTAACATCCGTCAATTCTCACTTGGCTGTCCGTTGCGGTCTATTACTCCCTCAATACGTGGTATGCCAACTAGACCCATAAGGTTGATTGTAAAAAATTACATTCCTACGTGGCATGTGTGATCCCATGGCTCCTTTTTCTCCCATCTCTCTTCTTCTTTCCTATTCCACGATTTGGGGTTGAAATCCCTAGAATCTTCAATCTGCCTCTCTCCATGCAAGATCTTCTTCTCCACCTAATAGCAGCCTACCCAATCCTTGGAACTTCTCCGCCCAACAGCCTACTTTCTCCCTACAAGATCTTCAAAGGCTCTATGCAGACATAATTCCATTGCAACTGAATTCCCTCAAAATTATGGACGACTTCTTCTTTTTTGTTTCTGGGTTTTGCTAACCTTGAGCTGCTCTGTTTTGGGGCTGTTCTTGGTGGTGAGATGGAGTTCAGTGGAGTCATAGAATCGTTACACAATGGAGGATGGCGAATATCCACAGACTCTGGCTTCCTTGTAAACAAGACCCTCTTTGCAGAGGTACCCTGTGCTCGGACTGCAATGTTTGTCCTCTGAGCAAATGCAGTGTCCTTTTAGTGCACACCCGTTGCCTTTATCAGTAGCTTTGCTTTCCAACAGTATCTGATCCGACCATTTGCTAGAGAATATGCCTTGCGGGTCCAATTGTTTCTTTTTCGCAATGAATTTGTTGAAGTTTGGGTAATTACTCTGCATTCCCAAGAACCCAAGATTCCTGTTCTTCGCCCAATGTGGCCGCGCGCCGTACTTGAAGAATGCCATATGCTCGATTTCTTCCCAGATGTCTTCCTTTAGCCTCAGGGTGGAAGCATTGTTGGCGTGGTAATAGTTGAAATCAATCACCACAGAATCCTCCGGTTGGCTCGGTATGCCGGCGAAGCCTGGACGTAACGGATCATAATGCCGTTGTAGATATCGGCTTCGCAGAAATTCTTTGGGTTTACGCCTCGCAATTTCTTCATGTTGCAGATGAAGTCTCCGAATTTACGAATTATATTATATTAAAAAGGTGTTGAATAGTCAAAAATAGAAAAAGATTATGGGAAAAGGAGTCTTGTGGGACCACCTGTTATGTGGAGGGAAAGATCCCGCCCCATATGCCATGTTGGAAAATATTTTTTATAGTCAGCCTTATGGTTCCAATTGGCATGCCACATACTGAGGGAGTAACAGACCGCAACGGACAGTCAAGTGAGAATTGACGGATGTTAAGATTCCATCCAATTAGGTCCTAATTTGAGAGTTTGTGTGAGTTCAAGACCTTAATTCAGTGCAATAAATGTTGAGGACCTCAATTAAGAATTTAGTAAAAGTTAGGGTCCTTTTTCAATACTTAAGCCAATTACTAACGATATTGTGTTAATTAGCATAGCCAAGACCATGATGCAAGGATTAAG